CGAAAGCAGCGCTGGGGTTGGAGTTGGCCATCTGATCGAGAAGACAAGACCTAGGCGAGGAATAGAGGAAGCTAGGGATCAGGGAATGCTTCGGAGATTCCATGGCCGGCGACGGAAGATGGAAACGAGCGAAGCAGAGTGGCAATGTCCGATCAGGTCAGAGATCTTCGGCCCTTTATTGAAATGAAACCCTCGAAATCCAATTAATTGGGGAATAATGTTTGAAAGCAAACAAGGCATATTCTCCTCATTATTCTCCAGAATGCCATTTTGATACATGAAACCAAGGCCCATGGGCCTTTCTATGATCCAGTAAAGCTCATTCGAGGGAAGCCTATAAAGACATTATGAATTGCTATCATCATCACTTCACGTTGTATTATTGTAGGAAGAAACAGCCTCAAGTTTTGCTCTACAGACAGAGTTCCGCACTACAATGCTCATAATATCTTTTTGGAAAATTGAAAATAAATAAATTTTTTTTGGAGTTTGTCCATATATAACTTTATTTGAAAATTCTTCATTTCCAAATTTCCCATTTTTTATTCGTGCAATGCAATAATAATCAAACTATCAGATGATTATTCGAGTATTTATGATTATTTCTCTAGTGAAAACTGAAATGTGTAATTCTTAACGATACATCTGATGCCACGTGTATGCATATATTGCCAAATGTGAAATTCTTTTCTTTCTTTTTTTGGTCAAATGTGAACTTCTTTATGAAAGAAATTTAAGAATAAGTAGACATTGCCTATGAGTAGGTGGCCACGTTTTTTGGATTTAACATGGATACCCTCAACCTCCTAAGGGTTCTCCACTAATATAATCGTGTTTTATTCATGTTTTCCAACAAAAACACTTGTTGGTTGATTATATATATATCTATGTGCTAAACCAAGCGTAGGTTCAAATTACTAGTATAAAGCAAATTCATTCGACTTGAATATAAATAAATAAAAGTCCAGTGAAGAAGTCGAATGATCGTTCGACTGGTTATAACAAAAACTCATTGGTTCACGCAAAATTGAGTCCGTCCGATCTTTGACCGTCTATTCAGAGAAGAGCAAACCAAAGGCAGTGGTGTGTTGTGGGAGGCGGCGCCTTGACTCACTCATAATCAAAAGGAGGACACTGTCGTGTTTGTCCCAAGCAAACATCTTTATTAACTGGTACGTGCAATCTCCTCTGTATCTCTGCAAGATCCTTTTTTGTTTTTCAAAAACTCAAGTTTGTACATCTTTGCGCATGCATGCATTTGAACTTTTACTTCACTTTCCCAGTCGGAGCTTATTTGAATAATGGCGGCTTCAATGCACTCGTGCGGAGTTAAAACTCCAGGACTTGCCTTGAACTCAAAAATGATTGAGTTTGGCTCAACGGGGTTCGTGTCCTCTGCTCGCCTTTTCTCTAGAAACATAAACCACTCTCGTAGGAACAACGTAGCTCTTAGAGTTAGGTGTGAAGCTGGGAGGGTGGAATTGCTCGAGAGAAAAGACTCTCAGGCTTTCAAAGTATGCAGCACCACTGAGAAAGAGCTTACCAGTGTAATGAAATTCGGTGGCTCTTCAGTGGCATCAGCAGAAAGAATGAAACAAGTTGCCAATCTCATACTCAGCTTCCCAGATGAGAAGCCTGTTGTTGTGCTATCAGCAATGGCCAAGACCACCAATAAGCTCTTAATGGTAAATTAAAAAAAGAAAGGTTTTAACTTCTTTTGCACCATTTTCCTCTGTTATTATTGAAGTTGGGTCTCATTAGGCTGGAGAGAAGGCTGTTTGTTGCGGTGTCACCAACGTCGACACTATCGAAGAGTTGAGCTATATAAAGGAACTCCATACAAGGTTCAATAAAACATTCTCTCTCAATCTACCTACATATATATACATCCAATTTTCCAAGCTCAAATTGTGCTTTCTTCTCATGCGAAATCAATTTCTCTTATGTCCAGGACTGCTTATGAGCTTGGAGTGGGAACAACAGTCATTGAAGGTAAGTGCCTTAGCTCTCTTTCTTAATGGTTTATATGTCTTGAAACTGCACTTTTGAGTTTCTTTGTATATCTGAATTTTGGTCTCGTTTAATCTATCTGTAGAACATCTAGAAGGACTGGAACAGCTTCTCAAAGGCATTGCAATGATGAAAGAATTAACTTTACGCACAAGGGACTACTTGGTTTCATTTGGAGAATGCATGTCTACAAGGCTATTTGCTGCATACTTGAACAAAACTGGCCACAAAGCACGCCAGGTATGTTGCCTTGATTAACATAAATAACCTTTGAATCTTCCCAAGACCTCATACATGACTTGATGAGTTTTGCTTTGGCAGTATGATGCATTTGAGATGGGGATTATCACCACAGATGATTTCACTAATGCTGATATACTTGAGGCAACATACCCAGCAGTTTCAAAAAGGTTACTTGGTGACTGGAACAAGGAGAATGCAGTCCCAGTCGTCACAGGTTTCCTTGGAAAGGTATGAGTAGATAGCCATTACTTCTCTGGCGCTTTTGTGACATTTTTAAGAAGAAGAAGACAAACAAAAAACTTCACTTTTGCGCGTATGAATCTTAATTTCTGCAGGGATGGAGATCTTGTGCTGTGACTACGTTGGGTAGAGGAGGTAGCGATCTGACTGCAACAACGATCGGAAAAGCTTTAGGTTTGCGGGAGATTCAGGTCTGGAAAGATGTGGATGGAGTTTTGACATGTGATCCAAACATATACTGCGGAGCTCAACCTGTTCCACACTTGACATTTGATGAGGCAGCTGAACTTGCTTACTTTGGTGCCCAGGTAAAGCCATCATCAATATATAGACTTGTCGTAACCAAACCATCCTCAATATGTTGAGCATCAACATGCACGAGCCAAAGGCATATCTCTCCTCCCTCTTCTATTGCAGGTGTTGCATCCACTCTCCATGCGGCCAGCGAGAGAAGGTAACATTCCTGTGAGGGTTAAGAACTCTTACAATCCCACTGCTCCAGGAACTGTCATCACCAGATCAAGAGACATGAGCAAGGTTGGTGAAGACAAACAACACGAGTATTTTATATCACAACATCATCATGACCTCTTCCTCATTATCTTTTCTCCTAGGCTGTATTGACTAGCATCGTTCTGAAACGTAATGTTACCATGCTGGACATCACCAGCACCCGTATGCTCGGCCAGTATGGCTTCCTTGCCAAGGTAATTGAACTTGATGGCAATGTTTCCAGCTCACTGTCAAGTGTCAATCTCTCTCTTCTTTCTCTGCAGGTGTTTTCCACATTTGAAAAGTTGGGCATATCTGTGGATGTTGTCGCAACCAGCGAAGTTAGCATTTCCTTGACGTTGGATCCTTCAAAGTTCTGTAGCAGAGAGTTGATTCAACAGGCAAGCTTATGACTCTGTTTTTGTATTGTATGAGAGAATTTCTAGGTAATATCTTGGAAGAAATCAAGACTCATCTTGTTCTTTGTAATTCCTGGCCATGTGACAGGAACTTGATCAGGTGGTAGAGGAACTTGAGAAGATAGCTATTGTAAATCTGCTTAAACACAGATCAATCATCTCTCTCATCGGAAATGTTCAGAGATCATCCTATATACTAGAGAAGGTTAGTTAGCTTGCTTGTATGGTTTATTGTCTGATCTGTTATTTGGTGACTTACCTTACCTAACGAACAACAAACAGGGATTCCGAGTTCTCCGAACCAATGGGATTAACGTCCAGATGATCTCCCAGGGTGCATCTAAGGTCATATCTCTTTCATCTTCTTAATTTATGATTCTATTATATGTATGTATAAAAGAAAGGAATTACACACTCGTCTGACGTTTAAGACTGGCTCTATCAGGTAAACATCTCGCTGATAGTGAATGATGATGAGGCAGAGCATTGTGTGAAGGCTCTTCATTCAGCCTTCTTTGAGTCAGGCACCTCCGAAGCGACCTCAGAACGCGCGTCCGGCTACTTGGCTGCTGCATCTACGTGAAACCTGAAAGGTTTACAACTCGTTGGGATGTTGTGATTCTTGTCAAACTGGTATTAGGAAACAAAACTCCCATTATTCTTGTGTAATTTGATCACGGGAGGTGCATGCGTGTACATGAAAATCAATAAGTTTTCCTATTTGAATATACTTACTACTAATTAAGACGGCTTACAATCTTGGATCCAACACCCTTTATAAGAGCAAATACAAAAGCTAAACAAACGTTCATTCTTCATCTACGTCTTATTGCTGCCTTTTCTTTCAATTTCCATTATCTCAGAGTGTATATAAGCCCCAAAAGGCCAAGAGAGTATATATATAAGCCCCAAAAGGCCAAAGTCCATCCAAATAAAATACCAAAAGAGCCCAAAGATATCTGATCTGCTCTTTCCCTTCACACGCGCGCGCGTCGAACGAAAAATCGTTACATTCTGACACCAATGGACGGACATTGGAAATTATGGTAGGGGACACTGCTCCTAAGACAATCAACCTTTATCTGGTCATGGGTACTACGAACATTTGTATTATATTCCAAGGTTAAAAATTCAAAGTAACGAACCTTGTGAAGTCGATGAACAACCAAACATAAGAGACAATCTCGTGATCTGATTACACTTTTTACGCATATCTATCTAACGCACCTCATTTATAAATATCAATTTCAAATTCCAACGAGAAACAAAATACAGAAGAGAGAGCAGAGAGGATGCGTTGACTGATTGAAAGTGAAACAGGACAAGGAGGTAGATGCTCATGCTTGTCACGCTTATTGTACTAAACC